CCTCTCTCGGCCGTGTGCACACAGCCCCTGAATCTGCTGGCCGATGTGACGAGGGCAGATTGGCACTCTGGGTTGCTTTCTGGAGGCACCGCGCAGAGTCGCTCCTGTCTCTGCCATGGCTCACCCGGTGATGGCTGGATCAAGGGGTGACTTGAGAGGAAAGAGAGAGACAAGCCTAGCAGGCGGTTTCCTGGTGGACGCAGCCACTCCTTGTGTGTGTGGGTGGGGCGGGGACACCTAATCGCCACTGCTGGGTCCAGGCCCTGGACCTCTTTCCTTTGGCCGGCGGCGGGGCGGGGGCGCCGGGGGGGAGAAGCTTTCTTCCAGGGCCACCCCCTACTACCGTGGAGCCGGCCAGGAGGCACGGTGTGCATTCTCAGGTCCATCTGGGCACGTGCGACCCTGGGCAGTGAGGAAGCCAGAGCCCCACGTGGGCGGCCCGCTGAGCGCCACCCCACCCATGTCCTGGGGGCCCATCATCCTAGTGAGAGGAGGGGAGAGTGGGCAAAGGGGGAAAGGGGCACAAAGGCCAGGAGCTGGTCCACTGGTGAATGAGGGGTACGGGTCCTGCAGGGCCTCCCAAGAGCTGGGGTTTCTGAGTCTTTTAAATACACGGAAGAATATGATCCAGCTTTTTTTTTTTTTTTGATTTGTCAAATATTTACTGAACACCTCCTTCCTGTGTGCCAGGGACTGGCCTGTGGGACGGGCTGTCAGAAAAGACTGGCTCCACGGGCTGTGGTTGCCTCTGCCGTGACGGGACAGGTCGGGCCGCCCTCAGCCCGGGCTCCCTTGGCCACAGGTCCTCGTGGTTGCCTGCCGGGCGCCAGGTTGCAGGGGTGCCTGGGGCAGCTGGTCGGGTTGCCAGGCTGCTCGGTAAACAGAGGCCCTCCTTGGTATGCTTGCTGTTACCCTGGTGCGGCTGGCAGATTGGCCTTATCTCTCGCCCCAGGAGGGACATGGGTGACGGCACAGTGCCAGGGTCCCTTCCTGGGACCCACTTGCAGCCAGACCTGGGAGGCCCCTGTCTGGGGCGGTGCCTGACAGTACGATCTTCTCTCCCGCCTGTGGTTAGGAGGCTGGCCCCCGGCTCTGGATGTGTGAGGCCGTCTGGCAGAACCCGGGCTGTGGCCCCAGGAGGCCTCCAGGACCTGGGTCCACGCTCAGAGTACCCAGGGTGAGAACAAGAGAGCTGGTGAACACCCATAGGCCCTTCATATCTGCATCCACGCATTGAAAAGGTTTTTCTTTTTCTACGGAGATAAAGTTCACATGATATAAAACAAACCGCTTTAGGGATGCCTGGGTGGCTCAGTCAGTTAAGGGTCCGGGTCCGACTCTTGGTTTTGGCTCAGGTCATGGTCTCAGGGTTCATGAGTTCAAGCCCCACATCAGGCTCTGTGCTAACAGCGTGGAGGCTGCTTGGGATTCTCTCTCTCCCTCTCTTTCTCTGCCCTCCCCACCACTCGTGCATGTGCACGCTCTCTCTCTCTGTCTCAAAATAAGTAAAAAAAAAAAAAAAAAAAAAGGGTGTACAGTTCAGGGGCATTTGGTACATTTGTAATTGTGTGACTACCACCTCTGTCTGGTTCCAAAACATTTCATCACCCCAAAAGGAAACCTTGAATCTATTAAGTGGTCACTCCCCAGGCTCCCTCCCCCGAGCCCCTGACAGCCACCAGTCTGCTTTCTGCCTCGGTGGATTAACTGATTCTGAATGTTTCATATACACGGAATCACTTGTGTGTGACCTTTTGTGTCTGGCTTCTTTCACTCGGCATAACGTTTCTCAAGTTCATCCACGTTGTAGTGCGTGTCAGGACTTCATTTTTTAAAGTTTATTTATTTATTTTTAACGTTTATTATTGAGAGACAGAGAGACACAGAGCGTGAGCAGGGGAGGGGTAGAGAGAGGGGGAGACACAGGGTCCGAGGCAGGCTCCAGGCTCCGAGATGTCAGCACAGAGCCCGACGCGGGGCTCGAACTCACGGACCGTGAGATCATTGGCCTGAGCCAAAGTCAGATGCTTAACCAACTGAACCACCCAGGTGCCCCTATTTATTATTTTTAGTACTCTCTACACTCAACGTGGGGCTCGAACCCACGACCCCCAGATCAAGAGTTGCTCTCCTGACTGAGCCAGCTAGGCGCCCCAGGACTTCATTCCTTTTTATGGAAGAATTAACGGTTCATCCCGTGGACCTGCCACGTTTTGTGTGTCCGTCTGTCAGTGGACGGACATCTGAATTGCTTCTACTTTCGGGTTCTTGCAAATCGTCCCACTTTGAATATTTGCATACAGGTATTTATCTGACTGCTTCTTTCAGTTCTTTTGCGGACATCCCCAAGAGTGGGGTTGCTGAGTCAAATGGTAATTTGATGTTTAACATTTGAAAGAACCACCAGACCCTGTTCCCCGGCAGCTGAGTTGTTTCATAGTTTCATGCCCCCACATGCCTCCCAGCGTGTGAGGGTTCCAGTTTTTCCACATCCTTGCCAACACTTGTAATTTTCCCGTATCTGTTTAAAGTTCTAGCCGTCCTAGTGGGTGTGAAGCGGTGTCTCCCTGCGGTTTGATTTGCATGTGCTTGTTAGCCAGTCCTATATCTTCGGAGAAATGTCTGTTCAGGTCCTTTGCCCATTTTTGAATTGGGTTGTTTACCTTTTCGCTGAATGAATTCTTTATACGTTCTGGACACTGAGTTCTTTTCAGGTGTATGATTTGTGCCTCGTTTCTCCCATTCTCTAGGTCATCTTCACTTTTTTAATTTTTCTTCATGCTTATTTATTTTTGAGAGAGAGAGAGTGCGAGCGGTGGGGCGGTGGGGGGGGGGGGGGGGGGTGGCGCAGAAAGAGAGGGAGACACAGAATCCGAGGTAGGCTCCAGGCTGCGAGCTGTCAGCCCAGAGCCCGACGCAGGGCATGAACTCACAGACTGTGAGATCACGACCCAAGCCCAAGTCAGACGCTTAACTGACAGCCACCGGACGCCCCTTCACTTTCTTGATAGTGTCCTATGATTCACAAAAGTTTTCAATTCTCATGAAGTTCAGTGTATCTAGTTTTCCTCTTGATACTCTTGCTTTTGATGTCACCTTGAGGAATCTTTTTGCCAAATCCAAGTTCAGGAAGAATTTACCCCTCTGTTTCCTTCCAGGAGTTTTACAGTTTTTAGCTCTTGTACTCAGGTCAGGCTTCATATGTGGTGTGAGGTAGGGATCCAGCTTCATTCTGTTGTGCGTGAACATCCACCTGTCCCTGTACCATTTGCTGAGGAGACCATCTTGCCCCCCATTGAATGCTCTTTGCACCCTTGTTGAAAGACGGGGATGCCTGGCTCTCTCAATCGGAAGAGCATGTGACTCTTAAACCCGGGGTCAGGAGTTTGAGCCCCACGTTGGGTATAGAGATTGCTAAGAAAAATGAAAGAAGTCAGTTGATTATAAACATAAGGTTTTAATTTGACTCTGATTCTATTGCGTTGGTCTCTCCTTTGCCAGTACTATTCCATGTTGATCACGGTACCTTCAAAGTAGGTTTGAGATTGGGGAGGGTGAGTCTTTCCACTTTGCTCTTTTTCAAGATGGTTTTGGCTTTCTGGGGTGACGGGGACACTTGGCCACATTGGTACTCGGGCTGCTCTCTGTACGTGTGGTTTGTAGTTGTCTATTTGATGAGCTACTCTAAGGTGAGTTGCAGATGTGACAAGAATTCACTTAGTACTTCCGTTTCTTAGAAGAATGAGGGCGTTATTCTGCGGACCCACATGCTGTCGTCACACGTTTGTCATCTAACCTTGTCACACCCGCGGTCCACACTCAGTTTCCCAATGGTCCCTAACAGCTCGTGAAAAGGTTTCATTAGGCTCCAGTTGGGGCACCCGTGACATTGGGGTCACATGTTTTTGGTGACCCTCGCTCTGGAAAGGCTCCCCAAGATTCGCCTCTTTCCTGGCGTTGCCGCTTTGAGGAGGAGAGCAGGCGTGCTGTCTCGCCGACTACCCCACGGTCTGGAGCCGTCGCAAGAGGACCAGGGTGGACACTTGTGCCGAGAATGCGACACAGATGCCGTGTCTGTCCCGCCGCACCGCACCGGGGCCTCCCGGGCGTGTCGGTTCGGCCCGTTTCTGGTGACGCAAAGTTTCACCGTTTGAGGGCGAAGGAACGAGCGGTAACGGTAATTAGTGGCGGCTCGTGGATGCCGTGCTCGCCGTGGGCCGGGCCCTGTGCCTGCCCCACCGTCAGCCCCATTAGGCAGATGGGAAAACCGAGGCTCGGAGAGGCCGAGTGACCTGCACGAATCACACACCGAGTGGTGCGTGTGGGACACGAACCCGGGCCGTCCGGCTCCCGGGGCCCCGCTTAGGCTCACCGCGCCGCCCGGATCCAAGAGGGAAGGGTTCGGGCTCGAGCAGGGGCGCCCCCCGGGCATTCTGGCTTGGCTCCCACCCGCCCCTGCCAGCTGGGAGAGCCGGTGACCTCCCCGTGTGACGGGGGCATTGGTGAATCAGAGCCAGACTCGCTCGGCTGGGTTCCCGTAGCCCCCCCCCCCCGCCCTGCTCTCGGCCCTCTTCCCGCCTCGGCGCCCATTGGGTGAGCGGGGGCCTGGGCACCAGGAGGCGCTCCGTGAGGGAAGGTCCTGGCAGAGGTGCCCCCGGGCCCCGGTGTCCTGCTCGGCCCCACGGCGCCTGGCCACCCCCCACCCCCACCCTCGGCCTCGGTCGCTCTGTGGACAGCGGTCCTCTCCACTCGACATGCTTTGTCCTGTGTCACTGCCGCCCGATCGGCCGTCCCCTCTTCCTCAGTGTGGGCTGGGCAGGCGGGGCACACGCGGCAGTGGGCCCCGGGGCGGGTTTTATGGAGCCTCAGAAAAACCTGGGGGCTGTGAGGAGCGGGCTGGCGGTGGCGGGGACATGACTCGAACAAACTTAGCCCACGGGGAGCCTTGCTCGGCCGGCCCCGGGACCCTTTGGCTCACGCTCCCCTCTCTCCTCTTGCAGACGAAGATGTGTGTGTGTTTAAGTGCTCGGTGTCCCGAGAGACAGAGTGCAGCCGCGTGGGCAAGCAGTCCTTCATAATCACCCTGGGCTGCAACAGCGTCCTCATCCAGTTCGCCACTCCCAATGGTACGTGTCCCTTCCGTCCTGGCGGCACACGGCCAGAGATCCGTCCTGGCGGCACGTGGCCAGAGATCCGAGCCCTGTTCGGTCACGGCCCATCCGTCTGTCCCAGGGAGCCAGCAGAAATTATTCCCATGCGGAGATACGTTCGTGGGAAGAGCACATTCTCTCTGCCTGGAACGCTCCTCCGCAGACCTTCCCTTGCCGAATCATTTGGGTCCTCCTGGGCTCAGCTCTTACCTCCCTTTCTGCAAGAGGCCTGTCCTGACCACCTGGCCTGGGTGCACCCCAGGTCTCCTGGTGGAGCCTGGGGGCGAGTCTGGGGGCAGCGGAGGATGGGAGCGAGACGGGAAGCCGAGGCAGGCAGAGCTCTGTAGGCAGGCAGAGCTCTGTTCCGAGCGCATAGAGAAGCCACGGGAGGGTTCTGTGCGGACCCTGCTCCGGGATCCAAGTGGATGCAGGCTGTTTCCGGTTCCCGAGGAGGGTTTTTAGAGCCCCAGGCGACTGCTGGTGGCTCAGGTGGAGGTCAGCAGCCGAGGTGGTGGGGCGCCTGGGGCTGGAGACCGCTTACTGGTGCAGCAGCCAGGCCTGGTCACCGCAGGTGATGTCGGTGATCCTGGTGGCCGGGCTGGGAGAGTCGAGGTGGAGAAGCTGCCCGCCCTCTGCCGCCAGCCTCCCACCCCACCCCCGCAGCAGTCCCGGTGCCGGTGCCCCCGGTGGAAGAGGAAGCCGGGTGGGGTGGAAGGAGCCAGGTGACTGACCCCCTCCACCGCAGGAGGCAGTCTTACGCCCCATTTCTTTCTTTACTTACGTAAATCACCCGAAGTCCCGGTGTTTAAAAAAAATTTTTTTTTTCAACGTTTATTTATTTTTGGGACAGAGAGAGAGCATGAACGGGGGAGGGGCAGAGAGAGAGGGAGACACAGAATCGGAAACAGGCTCCAGGCTCCGAGCCATCAGCCCAGAGCCCGACGCGGGGCTCTAACTCCCGGACCGTGAGATCGTGACCTGGCTGAAGTCGGACGCTCAACCGACTGCGCCACCCAGGCGCCCCAGTCCCGGTGTTTAAAACACCACCCCAGGGGTGAGCGGTGGGAGCTGGTGTCAATCTAGTCTTTTCCGACTTCATGAATATTTATAGTTGGCTTTTTTCCCTTTTAATTCCACCAGTTTTTTAAATGGAGGTAAAGTACACATAACAGACATTTAACGTCTTAACCCTTTCTGGGCGTAGAGCCCGGGGGGGGGGGGGGGGGCACCACGCGACCTCCCACCGTTGTCGCCCCCATCCGCCTCCAGGACTTTTTCAGCTTCCCAAACTGCAGATTTTAATTTTTTAAGAGCTTGCCTTAGAAATCTGCTCTACTTTTAAGGCACTGGGTTAAAATACGCATGACACAATTTACCCTCTTAACCATTTTTACGTGTATAGTTCAGGTTGTTAAATACATTTACTGCTGGGTAGCCGCCCACACCCTCCCAGTCGGCCCCACACAGACCCTGTAGGGGTGCTTGCGGTTCCTGGGCTCGGGCCAGTCTGTGAGGTATGACCCTGGCTCAGCGGGCGCGTGTCCTCCCGAGGCTTCAGCCAGGCTCGTCGGCCCCACCGGCCGCGCGGAGCACACACACACGCTCCCCGCCCCCGACTGCAAAATCCCGGCCTCGTGCCGGCCACCAAGAGGCAGGGTTTGTTTGGCTGCCCTTCTTCGTGAATTTCAGCACTGGTTTGGGGACAAAGAGATCACCAAGCACGCATGCTCAAACTAGGAGAGTCGGGGTGTGCACGTAGGTGGAACCCCACCCCCGAGATGCCCACCGATGACCTGGCCTCCCCCTTCCAGACTTCTGTTCCTTCTATAACATCCTGAAAACCTGTCGGGGCCACACCCTGGAGCGGTCGGTGTTCAGCGAGCGCACAGAGGAGTCCTCCGCCGTGCAGTATTTCCAGGTGGGTACGCGTCACCCCCGACCAGGCTGCCGCCACCGGGTGGGCAGCAAAGGGCAGGCCCACCTGGGTTCTCGTCCTGGCTCTGCCCCTTACTAGCCACGTAGCCTCGGGCAGGTTTCCTTCGCCTGCTGGGCCTCAGTTTCCTCATCTGTGAAACGGAGATGCCAGGGTCTGCCTAGGAGGGTTGCTGGAGGAATTGAGTGCAGGTGAAGCTCAGGTTCACAGGCGTTTTGAGTAACAGTAGCATAGTTATCACGTACCGAACAGGCATTGGTCTGAGCGCTTTTACACCTGCAGATGCATTGACCCTCCCAACAACCCTAGGAGGTAAGTACTATTATTGTCCCCATTTTACAGATGAGAAAACTGAGGCTCAGAGAGGTTAAGTGACTTGCTCCAAGTCACACAGCTATTATGCAACAGAGCCAAGATGGGAAGCCAGGTCTGCCTGATGCCAAAGCCTGTGCCCCTGCCCAGGTGCCACGCTGCCTCCCGATCGCCCGTTGTCTTACAGAGAGACCCCGCAGCACCTCACCCGCCTGGCGCTCTGAGTTCTAGGGTTCTGTCTGTTCTACACCTCTGCTTCGTTGGGGACCCTAAGATGGGGCAGGCGGCCCCCAATCCCAGAACTCCTCCTGTGGCAAATCTTGACTTCTCCTGGGTGGCTCCCAGGTCTGGGCAGCACCCGGCTGCACACGTTGGCCACGGTGATGGTGGCGGTGACCCTCCTGGGGGCTGCCTGAGGCTTCCCACTCCCTTTCCCGGAGCGGCCGGCAGCTGCCAGCGGGGTCTGGGTCGGTAGAGGGGGTGCAGCCTCCCAAGGGAGGTTTGCGCCCACGGTGGGCCCTCCTGTGTCGCAGGGCCAGCCAGGGCCACGGTCGTCTGTGCCGCCGCGTGCCCTGTGCCATTGGCGTGTCTCTGTTCCAGTTTTACGGCTACCTGTCCCAGCAGCAGAACATGATGCAGGACTACGTGCGGACAGGCACCTACCAGCGCGCCATCCTGCAGAACCACACGGACTTCAAGGACAAGGTGAGCGGGCCTGGCCAGGGGAGCGGCTGCTTTCCTCCGCCCTCCCCTGGGCCCCTCCGCCCAGGCTCCAGGTCCCCCGCGCTCTGTCGGTTGTCTCCAGTTGTGTTTTTCTTTGCTCGTTGATTTCATCTTTAATTGTTTCGGATTACAAGAGCAAAGTCTACTTTTTGTGAAAACCCAGTAGGCGCAAAAAGCCTCTGTCATTCACCTCCAGAGCCAACAGTAAGGGTTTTTTCCACATTTTCCCCTATGCGTGCGTCGGCGTATATAATCTAGAATTGATTAATTAACGGATTTACAAAATAGGATCTTATTCTGTGTACTCCTCCTGCAGAAAACCTTTCCCCCCCATAACGAGAGGTCTTGGGACAGGCCAGTAAGTCACGCGGATGTACTGTCACTTGTCTGGTTATTTTCTTAGTCGCTTTTAAAATCTTTTTACTGTTACCGAGTAGCATAGACTCGTGACTAAAAAGAAAGAGGGGCTCCTGGCTGCACTTAGTGAGTGCTCATCCCCAGAGAAGCCATAGGCGTGCCCGGAGTCCACCACGCTGCTGCCTGCGTAGACTGATCGTTGCCCAAACCGTTCCTTTCTGAATCCGCCCTGAGGGCGTGTAGCGGTCTTAACATCCTAGCAGACTTCAGAAATCCTGCTCCGCCGCCTTCGGACTCCAGCTAGGGGCGCCCACGTGCTCCAGCCCCGGGGGCGGCCGGCCTGTGTTGCTGGGATGCGGGCGGAGGGCACGGAGCACACTCGGCCGGGAGGGTCCTGCGGGGAGCGAGCGCCGGGGGACGGGCACATCCGTTAGGATCACCCTCGCTTCGCTAGTGTCCGCTTCTCACTGCCCCCTTCCTCCTCCAGATCGTTCTGGACGTGGGCTGTGGCTCTGGCATCCTCTCGTTTTTCGCCGCCCAGGCCGGGGCGAGGAAGATCTACGCAGTGGAGGCCAGCACCATGGCCCAGCACGCAGAGGTGAGCGGCCCACGGGGACCCCAGCTTGTCCTCGAGCTCTGTTCCGGCCTGGGGAAGCTGGCCCCTCTGGGAGACTTGACCCCCACATCCGGGGAGCCCGGGCGCAGCGCCTCTCTGTTCTGGTCTCTTGTCTCCCGGAACCGCGGGTCAACAGGCTTGCCGGACGGGAGGTGGTGTGTGCCCTCCGTGACGGGGTCGGGGCCAGCTCGGAGCTCTTCAGAGGGGGGCCGGCCTCTTGCCCCCGGGGGGCAGCTTGTGCGGTCACACGGACCAGGGTGGGATCGCGGCCCCGCTCCGAGCCCCACTCCCCGCCTCTGTGGAGTGTGGGTAACAGCAGGCTTTCCTTTCGTTTATGCTGTTGTTTCCTCGTTTCGTTTTCCGTGCGTTGAAACCTTCGTTCACGAGGTTCAGAACCGAAACGCTGCGAAGGGTTAACTGCGAGGCTACCTCCCTCCCCCACCCCGCCTCCCAACTGCCCGGCCCCCCACTCTGGAGCGACGGAGACCTGTTGGGGGGGGCTCTCAGGGCCGCCCCGGGGCTCCGAAAGCCGGCCTGCGTCCTCTGACCGCACACTGCCACGTTGCCGTGCTCCGGTCCCCCGTGCCGCGTGCCTGGGACTGTCCGTGTCCCCCCGTAAAGAGCTCCCTCACCCTCTCGAGTGGCTGCCAGGCATCCCTTCGCCCCGGGGACCGTTGTCTGTTTAGATGCAGCTGGGCTGTCATCGACCTTCGGGCCGCTTCGGTCTTTGCAGTGCAAACACGTGCTCTGCTGAACCCCCCACGCTCTGTCCCCTCTCGTGTGCGGTGACGTGTGTAGGACACGTTCTTAGCACTGGAGTCCCCGGGTTGGAGGGTGTGTCCGAGTTTAGCTTTGGTGGCTGTAGCAAAGCCTCCTCGTCCTGCCTACTCCCATCAGCTGTTGTCCTCGAAGGGTGGAGGTGACATCGGGGGACCAGGGAGCCGCGGCAGGAAAGGCCCTGAGAGAGGGCTGAGGTTGCCGTGAGCTACTCATGGGCCGTGGCTGGCAGCGGCTGTGGCTGGAATGCTGACGAGAGAGGCGGGGGTTTGGTGGCCGTGCGTGGGTGGAAGCCTGCCCCCGAGAGGAAGGGTCTGGTGACGACTCACGGTGTGGCTGGGTGCGGGGACCCCCATGACGCCTCTGGGCCCCCCCGCCCCCCCACGCGCCCGCAGGTCTTGGTGAAGAGTAACAACCTCACTGAGCGCATCGTGGTCATCCCCGGGAAGGTGGAGGAAGTCTCGCTCCCCGAGCAGGTGGACATCATCATCTCGGAGCCCATGGGCTACATGCTCTTCAACGAGCGCATGCTCGAGAGCTACCTCCACGCCAAGAAATACCTGAGGCCGGGGGGTGAGTGTCCTTGCCGGCGCAGGTGGCTGCCACAGGGGGTCCCGCCGCAGGGCCCCTGGCTGCTGCTCAGTTGGTACCATTGTGATTCTGTGCCCTGCCTGCCTGCCTTGGCAGCCTGGGGTGCCGGGGGCATCCGAGCCTTTACCCCTGGTCCCTTGCCCACCCCCGCCGGCCGTGGCTGCAGGGGTGTGGGGCCAGACCTCCGCCTGCCCTGCCCCCGGACAGCCTCCGGGCCGCCTCTGCTGTCTTAGGTCCTGTGTCGCGGGGACAGTATCTAGCTGGGAGTGGGGGTTGTGGCAGGTGCAGAAGGTACTCTGTGCTGGGCACCTTCCCGAGGAGCCAGCCTTCTGTCTTCATTCCTGGCGCCACAGACCTCATCCTGGCGTGACAGGCCCCTGAGCTCCGCCGAGCCGGGGAGTCGAAGGAGGGAGTTCGTGTGTGTGAGAGAGTGGGCTGGGGGTTCTCGAGCGTCACGGAGCCGCTGTCTGGCCTGCCCTTCTGTGGCCTCCTGTCTGTGTCGCTGTGCCTGCCTGTCCGCACACCTGGGTCGCAGGCTGTTCATACTTACGCATGTCCCTGGGGTTTATGTGCACGGCCTGGAACGTCTGCTGGTATTTCTGTTTCCGTTCGTGGTTTGTGTGTGTGTTTTGAGTATCTCTGTGCAAGTAAGGGGTTGTGTGCACGTGTGGGTGTGTGTGGCACAGGGGGACCCTGGCCAGGGCAGCAGCCGTGGGACAGAACACGGGAAGCTGGTGGACTGGCAAGCCTCGTGGGGGCCAGGGGATGGGTGGTTCTGTGGGGAAACACCTGCTTTGGTCCTCTGGCCTCCCTGGGTCTGGGCTGCAGGGACTGGCCTCAGGCTGTACTCCCGCCGCTGGGGGCTGTGTTACGGGTGCGCGTGTGGGAAGCCAGGCTGCCTGCGGGGGCGGGGGGGGGGGGTAGGTGCTGGTGTCCTGGACCCCCTCTCCTCCCTTCCTGTCCTGTAGGATAGACTGAACTAGCCGGGGGTGGTGCCCCAGCGGAATGGGCTCCTCCTCATGGGGCACGAGCACAGAGGGGCGTCCGGCTCCGGCGGGCAGCCCGCCCGTGACGAGGCTGCGGGCCGGGCCGGCCGCACTGCCCTCCTGCCCCCAGCCTGCGTGTCTTCATCCATCCCAACATGCTCTTCAGTGGATTGAAGGGAATCCTCTCCAGCCACATACGTTTAGGTGCCTCCGGAGCAGGGGCACTTTCCCGTAACGCCCTTGGGGGCTGGCAGTCTCCTCCTGGCCACGTGTCCTGGAGTGTGGCCTCCGAGCCAAAGTCAGGCATCTCCCCCGTCCCATCCCGGTGGCTGTAGCTGAGCCTTCTAGCTGGAAGAGGAGGCAGATTCCTGCCAGTGCCTCAGGGCCCCCCTCTCCTGCATGGAGGGAGGGAGGGAGGCCCACATCTGGAGGCCAGGTGACCTGGGGCCCTAGACTACCCCGGGGGGGTGGGGCCTCCCAAGCCCTGGCTCTGTCTGCCACTGACTGGGACTCCTCCGTCTGTTTGTGGAGTCACACGGAGGGAGGACCGTGGCCAACCCCCCTTCCCGTGTCAGCCCACGTGCCAGACCAGGGTGGCCAAGTGGCTCACCTGTTTGCCAGAGGCCGAGATTCAGCTGAACCCCCCCACCTAGCCTCTAGCCTCATCTGAGGCGCTGACGGCATATTCTAGGGCTTGCCTTCGCCCTGTCCAGAGTGCTTTGCTTCGCTTTCCCTGGCTGCGCACCTGTCCCTGGACAGCAGCGCTCGAGAGGCACCACCTGGCTGGCTGAGCAGGGACCCGGAGGCCTGGCTGCACCCCAGGCACCACTTGCTTACCCCCCGAGGCTTTGGCAGGTGCCTTCCCACCTCCCAGCCCTGGTAATGGAACACAAGGACAGGCCTTCCTGCTTCCCTGGCTGGCCGGCCAAGTTTCACGAGACCGTGCACGTCAAGTGCTCATCTTGGCCAGTGGCAGAGACGGTGCTCCGTATCTTTATGTCGCACGAATGCACAAATGAATGAATGAGAGGCTGGGAAGTCCCAGGCTTGGGGATCCAGGGGCCATTTGGAAGCTCTGCCAGACGCTTTGGGATGTTCCACCCTGACGTCAGCACCCCTCCCTGCCCCCCACTCCCAGGAAACATGTTCCCCACCATTGGTGACGTCCATCTGGCACCCTTCACGGATGAACAGCTCTACATGGAGCAGTTCACCAAGGCCAACTTCTGGTGAGTGTGACCTGGGTGTCCTGCCTTCTCAGGGATGGCCCCGCTTCTCTTTTTTTCCCCGCATCCTCAGTAGGACCCGAAAGACTTGGGCTGGTTGAGGGCCAGCTGGGAGAGAAGGCAGCCTGCCCCACCTGTCTCTCCTGCTACTGGTAACCTTGCTGTGGGAATGGGGGCTTTCTGCAGGTACCAGCCATCCTTCCATGGAGTGGACCTGTCAGCCCTCCGAGGCGCTGCAGTGGACGAGTATTTCCGGCAGCCTGTGGTGGTAAGTGGGGCATTCAAGGCACTATCACAGTTGGCACTAGGCATGGCCCTCCTCTGGGGTGACAAGAGGGGGGCATGGGCTTTCCTGTTAGGTCTTGTGCAAGCTCTGCAGCCCTAGGAAAGCCGCCGCCCCTCTCTGAGCTCTTGCTTTTGCTGCTACACAGAGCTCTCACACAGGGGTTGTTGGGAATAAAGTGGCAATGCATGTAGAGTGCTTTAACACACAGTAAGCATGCAATACATGCAAACTGCTGTTAGATGAATTGATTCTTGGTGAACTGATTTTGATTGATGTTAATTGAGATTTTTGAACTGATATATAGACCCATGGTTCAAAAATCATAAAAGTATAAACTGAAAGCCTACAGGCAAACAGTATTTCTTAGATAAATTTTCAGAAGTTTTATATCTAAATGTGCATATACAAATACACACACACACACACACACACACACACACACACATATAGTCTTTTTTTTTCTCTCAAAATATAGCATAATCAGCAAACTAGTTTACTTCTGTGTTCGGAGAACATACACTGTATGATTTCAGTCCTTTGAAATTTGTTGACAGTTGCTTCATGCCCACTATGTGATCTCTTTTGGTTAATGTTCTCTCTGTACTTGAAAAAAACATGTTTATCAGTTGAGAAGAATGTTGTATTAAGAATTAGGTCACGTTAGTTAATCATATTGGTCAAATCTTGCCTACCTCTACTGAAATGGGGCGGGGGGGGGGGGAGTTGGGATCTGCTTTTCCTATCACTGATTGTAGATTTCTTTTTCCATTTCTGAGTTTTGGCTTTATGTTTTTTGGCATTGTGTTATTAGGTGCATACAGATGTAGGACTGTTGTATCTTCCTGTTGCATTGATCCTTTTATCACTATAAAAAGGGTTCCTTTTTTTCCCTCAAGTAGTACAGGTTGGCCTAAAATATTTTTTTCTTTTTCCTGATAGTGGTTTAGCCACTCTTGCCTTCTTTTGGTTAATCTTTGTACAGTATGTTTTTTTCTTTCTACTTTCAACCTTTTTGTGTCCTTATTACTTAACGTTTGTCTCATGTAAGCAGCATGTATTTTGCATTTGTTTTTTAGTCAGATTGACCTTTTATTTTTGTCTTTCAATTACAACATTGAGACCATTTTACATTTAATGTAATTACTGATCTTTGTGGGTCTAAATTTGTCATCTTTTTCCCTTTATCCTGAATGTTCTTTTAAACTGTTTTGTTATTTTTTGCATTAATAAGGTTACATTATTTCCCCGCACTTGATGTCTTTCACTAGTTTCTGTAGACTCTTGGGCACTGTCTTTTTAAGCACTACCTCTGCCTCATTCTCTTTCTCCTTCCATCCTTTTTTCTCTGTTTGCTTCATTTTCACATTTCCTACTGATCCATCTTCCAGTTCTAATCTTCTCTTTGCCATTTAAGCTCATTTTCTAATTCTTAATTTCAGTACCAGGATCTCATTTTGCTTATTTTTTTTATTTTAGTTCTCTGAAATACATTTTTTTCTACCTTTTTTCTTGTACATACTGTAAATCTTTGGTCACTTTCACTATCTGGGTGTTCAGTGTATTTGTTTTTTGTTTATATTCTCTTAGTTTTTGGTCCTCATTCTCTTGTTCTGTTTCTTGGTATGCCTGGTCATTGGATACCAGAATGAAAAATTATAGAGGCTCTGGATGATGCCTTTCCTTCCAAGTATTTGTTTTTCTTCAGGCAGTTAGCCATATATAGATAGATCACCTTGGTCCTATAAGGCACTTGATATATTTAGAGGCTGCTTTTCAGACTTGACTTTGCTGGTCTACTTCTAGCTTTCCCTGTAAGACAGGCAGTGGTTTTCAAGCATTTTGGTCTCAGTGACCTGTTTTACATTTTTTTAGCCTGTTTACATTCTTAAAAATGGAGGATCCCAAAGAGCTTTTGTTAGTGTTTTAGCTATTGATATACTGCCAATATCTCTTGGTATTAAAAATTAAGCCCAAGAAATTAAAAAATATATATTTATTTAAAAATAACAATAAGCTCGGGGCGCCTGGGTGGCTCAGTTGGTTGGGCGTCCGACTTTGGCTCAGGTCATGATCTCGCAGTCCATGAGTTCGAGCCCCACATCGGGCTCTGTGCTGACAGCTCAGAGCCTGGAGCCTGTTTCAGATTCTGTGTCTCCCTCTCTCTGACCCTCCCCCGTTCATGCTCTGTCTCTCTCTGTCTCAAAAATAAATAAACGTAAAAAAAAAAATTTTTTTTTTAATTAAAAAAAAATAACAATAAGCTCATTACAGGTTACCATAAATAGCATTTTTAAGGGGAAAAAAAACCTATTTTCTAAAACTTTTCAGCGAGAACAGTTGGGATTTTTTAGTTTGCAAGTCTCTTTAATGTCTGGCTTCATAGAAGAGAGTTGGATTCTGCTTCTGTGTTCAATCGGTTGTGTTTATCACAGGTGAGTGAACCCAAGAAAAAGGCAGAAAACATCTTAGTATTATGAAAATAGCTTTGACCTTGGGAGTGCTCTGGAAGAGACTACATTTGGAGAACTGCTGCTTTAGGGCCTCGCCTGCAGTGGTCTCCATGTAACCACGGTGGGTGCCCCATGGCGGGCGGGGTCCCTCGTCCCACCCTCCCAGCACCAGTATGCACCTGAGCCTTTTCTTACTTTTTCAGTGTCTTATAAGTGGCTTTCTGCTTTGTTTCTTTGTCTCTGAGCCCCGCCCCTCCACACAGCTCAGGAATTGGCAAATGCCACAAAGTGAAACTGCATGTAGAACATCCACCTGTTTCTACATTTCCCTTTTGTTTCGTATCTTGACCTCTTGAATCCTAGCTGCCTTGGTAACCCTGAGCCTCTGTTTTGCTTTCCCCACCCAGGGAGGCTGCCGAAAGGTCCTGCCCCAAGGGGAAAGGCACAGGCCAAAACACCTCTCCCTTCTCTCTAGGATGTGGGCTCCCAAAGCCGTGGCTGCTCTGGGTACTCTTCAGTGCTTTCAAACCAGGCTGTAGTTTTCCTGTGTATTTTATTCAGCTCACACAGTTCTTCCCCAGAGTGTTAGTCTGATGAAAAGCCTTCGTCATAGCTGGGTGTGGACGTGAGCACGTAGTTCTCCAGCTTGCTTTTTAACTAGCGGTTTATCTCGGAAATCTTTCCCCGTCTGTTCTTTCTTCGTTCTTTCGTTAGTTCTCATACAGTCTTTTATGGATGGCACGTTGGTGGTTTAACGAGATGGTTTCCAGAATGTGTCTCTACTCTAGACAACCTAATTACGCGTGTGAGCTTGCAAAGGTGCACGTGGATCCGTAGGTTAAATTCCCAGAACGAGTCTTTAATGCCCGTGAAAGGTGGTGATTTTGAGGGCTGTCGCCTCGCTGCCCTCCACAGTGGCGTACCGCTTCGTCCTCCCCCAACACGTCTAAGAAGGGAGGGTGAAGTGGGCTTAGCCGAACGGCCTCGAGGCCATGGCCAGACAGGGAGAGGGGTACAGCTCTCCCCTTCCCGCCTGGCCTCCGTGCCTGAAGCCAAGTCCTGCTGTGGTCTCTCCCAGGATACGTTTGACATCCGGATCCTGATGGCCAAGTCTGTCAAGTACACGGTGAACTTCTTAGAAGCCAAAGAAGGAGATTTGCACAGGTACCGGCACCCGTGCCCCTCCTCCTGAGCCCGGTTCCTGCTGGAGTCTAGGGCCACCACAGACGCCCTCAGGCATCCTGCCCCAGGGTGGTGGGCACGCAGGGGCCCCAGGACACCGCCCCCAGCCACCCCCCTCTGTCGGCAGCCTGTTTGACTTCCCCAGTAATCATTGCCCTTTGCCTTCTAGGATAGAAATCCCATTCAAATTCCACATGCTGCATTCCGGGCTAGTTCACGGTCTGGCTTTCTGGTTCGATGTTGCCTTCATCGGCTCCATGTGAGTACAACCGGAGCAGGCCGCGCTCTCCCCGCTGTCCTGGCCCCAGGACTTCCTGCAGTGACCCCCAGGCCTGGCTGCCTCGGAAGGCTGCCTGGGGACTAGGAGGAAGGACTAGGCCTAGGGGACTAGATTCCCTGGCCCCTCTGAAAGGCAGTGAGGTCTCACCTTTGAGCCAGAGACTGTTGTGGGAGGGAGTGTCTACCCTGCACTCGGTGGCTGTCCTTCACGGAACCTGGTCTCTGTCTCTCGGCGCAGACACCAGGGTGAGTGGGCCCCCTGTGGATCTGTATGTATGCGTGGGCCTGTGCCTGGGACGCCTGGGCAGCCAGCCTGTCTTGGCTCCAGGCCCCCGGGGCACCCATCAGAGGTGCCCGTGTAGAGCTCACGGTGCACAGGGTAGTGGCTCCAGCCTGGTCAAGCGTATGCCTGTCCTTGCTTGACAGAATGACAGTGTGGCTGTCCACGGCCCCGACGGAGCCCCTGACCCACTGGTACCAGGTCCGGTGCCTGTTCCAGTCACCACTGTTCGCCAAGGCCGGGGACACGCTCTCAGGGACATGTCTGCTTATTGCCAACAAAAGGTGTGAGCTGCCACCTGGGGCTGGGGGAGGCAGGGGTTCCTCTACCCAGCCAGCTCATGGCTGTCCCTCCCCTGCCCTCTCTGCAGACAGAGCTATGACATCAGTATTGTGGCCCAGGTAGACCAGACGGGCTCCAAATCCAGTAACCTCCTGGATCTGAAAAACCCCTTCTTCAGGTAGGATCAGCCCTCGGCCTGAATGCGGGGCGCCCCTCCTGGCCCGCAGCCTCTCACCCCCGCGCCCGGGTCTGTCTGCTGCAGATACACAGGCACGACGCCCTCGCCCCCACCCGGCTCCCACTACACGTCCCCCTCGGAGAACATGTGGAACACGGGCAGCACCTACAACCTCAGCAGCGGGATGGCCGTGGCTGGTGAGCAGCCCTGCGTGGGAGAGGCCGGCGGTGGGGACCCCCGGGGGCAGAGACCCTGTCGCCCAGGCCCTGACCTCTCCCTCTCTGCGCGCAGGGATGCCGACCGCCTACGACCTGAGCAGTGTTATTGCCGGCGGCTCCAGCGTGGGCCACAACAACCTGATTCCTTTAGGTGAGTGTCCCCCGGGGTCCGGAGGCAGCGAGGGGCAGCATCCAGGAACGTCTGCGCGCTCGGGCTTTCTGCGCCGCGGTGTCTCGACGTCACCTTTTCCTCTTCCTGGGGCTCCTGGCGGAGGCCCTCTGTTCCGTTCCTCTCTGCCTCGCTCTGCAGCCGCTGTGCCCACCCTGCCCACACCCCAGTGACAAGAGTGTGGGCCGGGCCGGGGGCGGTGACGCCGTCTCCCTTCCTTCCTCCCTCCCTCTTGCCGCGCAGCCAACACGGGGATTGTCAATCACACCCACTCCCGGATGGGCTCCATAATGAGCACGGGGATTGTCCAAGGTAACGGCGGGCGGCGGGAGCGGGGTCCCGCGGGTGTGAGTGTGCGGACCCCCGGGCCACCCTCCTGCCCTCTCGCCTGCTCTCTCTCTCTCTGCCTCTGCTGCGGGTCTGGGCGGGTGAGGGGGCGGAGCTGGCCTCTCAGTGCCCGCGCCCGCCCCACAGGGTCCTCCGGCGCCCAGGGCAGCGGCGGCGGCGGCTCCAGTGCCCACTACGCGGTCAACAGCCAGTTCACCATGGGCGGCCCCGCCATCTCCATGGCCTCGCCCATGTCCATCCCGACCAACACCATGCACTACGGGAGCTAGGCCCCTCCAGCGTGGAACAGACTGACAGCACCAGGAAACCAAATGAAGACCCTGCCCACCCACTCCTCTGCCTGGGCGGCTTTCACCCCTGTACCGGAGAAGCCCAAACACCCGGTCACAGCCCTCTTTGCTATGGGAACTCGGACACTTTTTTACACGACATTGCCGCCGCCGCCCCCACTCCACCGCCCACCCACATCTTGGCCCCGAGCGTGTGTCGCTGCCGTATTTTACACGAGATCATGTCGTGGGAGCCCCGTTTCCCCCTCCTGCCCTCCACCCTGACCTGGGTTTGACATCCTCCGTAACAGGCGTGTCCGGGCCTGACAGCTGCAGGCCTGGCGGGGAGGTCGGGGGAGCAGCTGCGCACCCCCCCCCCCCCCCCCGGGCCCGCGGCGCCGGGGGGCCGCCCCCCCCCCCCCCCCCCCCCCCCGCCGCCTGTCTCCAGGGGGAAGGCGGTCCTGACTGGGCGGGGCCTCCCCTTCTACTACCAGGCCTTGGTCACAATGGGCGTGACATGCTGCTTTTTTTAATTTTATTTTTTTACGAGAAGAACCAGTGTCAATCCACAGACCCTCTGAGAAACCAGGCCGGCCGGGCCGAGCCAGCAGCCCCTCTCCCCCACTCAGAGGCTCAGTGGTGAGGGGCAGCCCTGCCGAGTCTTCGGGACAGGGGCGGGGCCAGGCCTCTGGAGACCCGAGGGCCCCCTCCCACCAAAGGGTTCACCTCACACTTGAATGTACAACCCACCCCGGCTGTCGGCTGTCGGGAAGGCCCTCCGTCCTCGGCCCCTGCCTCTTGCTGCTGTCCTGTCCCCGAGCCCCTGCAGGTCCCCTCCCCCACCCCTGCCGAGAGCTAGAGCAGGTGGCCCCGTGGGCCCCAGGCCTGGAGGAAAGGGCCACCGTCAGCCGCTCGGGGCAGACCTGAGAGACCTCGAGGCTCGGTCGTGGAAGGCGACCTTTTCCTTTGTAGCTCACATTAGGCCTGTGTGTTTCCCCCCACGTTTGTAGACGCTCCGGTCCCTCTTACTATGGTGGCATTGTGGTCCCTCCCTAGCCTGGGAAGGGGCCTTGCAGGGACCTCTCCCCACCCCCCCACCCCCCAAAAAACAACAAAAAATAAACGAGGAAATGTAGGTTTCAGCACAGGCCATTTTCTTCTACTTCTGCTCCCCCGCCCCGTTTCTAACCCCTCCGAACTTGGCCGTGGTGGAGCGCAGGTGAGGAGGCCCCAGGACCTGCTGACCGGGCACCCCGGGAAGGGCAGGCACAGCTGAGGTGGGGGTGGCCCCCTTTGCTCTCCCGACCGTCCCCCCAGGGAAAGCAGAGGCCTAGCGGGCAGCCCGTGGGGCGACGGCCACACCGGAAGCTCCCTGCTTGGCTGCCCCTTTCCCACCTTTATATAAATTCTCTAAATCACCTTTGCATAGAAAATAAAAGTGTTTGCTTTGTAAGAAAAGTCTGGAAAGTAGCAGAGCGATCTCGAGGTGTCAAGGGGGCCTTCAGTCCTCGTGTGAGGGGCAGGGCAGGCGGAGGCGTCCCCTCGTGTGGAGCCTGAAAGAGAGAGACTCCTAAGAGCAGCCAGCCTGGTGAGGCCTCCGTCGAGGAGGAGAGGCGGGAAGACCCCTCAGTCACGGCCGGAAACTGATCCTTACCTGCGGCTCGGGCCCTCCTAGGTCACCTGGGACCTTGGGGTGGGCGGCGGCAGCAGGTTTAGGGGCAGAGACGTGGTCTGGGGTGGAGGCGCCAGGGGCTCCAGGGGCAGCGGCTGGAAGAAGTAAAACTGAACCGAAGCCCCCCAGGGTCAGCGCCGGTGGGGGCCGGTGACGCCCCGACCCCAGGCCCGGCCTCCCGCCCGCCCACCCACCCCCATACCTTACAGCCCGTGGCCAGAAGGGCGTGGAGCAGCACGACCGTGGAGAGCAGCACGGCGGCCACCAACCGGGTGTCCTCTCGGACAACAGGCCAGAGGGTGAACACCAGGCTAGCGGCTGACAGGGCCAGGGCCAGCGCCCCAAACAGCCACTGCAGCCACGGGACAGGGATGAGCCACAGGACCTGGGGGTGACACGGGCAGCTGGCTACCGGGCCGTCCCCACGGCGCCCGCCGCCCCCATCCCCGGGCCACACTTACCACGGTGGGGATGAAGACGAAGAGGGAGTAGCCATAGACGCACACGGTCTCCAGGAAGGTGTAAGGCCCCATGCGCTCCCGGACACGCTTCCGCCACCTCAGGAAGCCCCACAGCGCCAGCGGCACCAGCCAGACGTAGCAGTAGATGGTGACGCCGGCCACGGTCACTGCGGGGCACGGGGGCAGGGCAGGCAGTCACCACCGCCCCAACCCCCCCCAGCTCCGGGCCCCACGGCACTCCCAGCCCTGCCCGGGGCTAGGCCTTGCCCTTTCCACTTACCCTTGTGGAACTGGGGGCTGTAGCGGATGGAGGGGTCCCTCCTCTGAGCCAGCACCAGCGTCAGGTTGCCAGTGACGGCCAGGACGAAAGCCAGTGTGGCACAGATCCAGAAGGGGCCTGTGGGCAGGGCACGGTGAGGGGCCCAGCTCTTCCGGGACAGGTGACTTGTCGCGTGTCGACTGTGCTAGGACCCAAGCTTCTTGCCAAGCTCTGAGCTACCCGCCCCGGGCGCGCCCCCCCCTTCCATCAACCGGACTCGTCCACAGGCCACCAGCGATGACCTGCGGTGGCTGCATCGGATGCTGGCTCGGTCCCTCCTGACCTTCCGGCAGCCTTTGCCGTAGCTGCTCTCCCCCTTCTGGAAACACTCCACGTGTGCTTTCTAGGCAGGACTCCGTGCTCCTGGCTTCCGCGTCACCTCCCTGGCAATTCCTCAACCTCTGTAGCCCCCGATCCCTTTAATGACAGGGACCCGGCTGGGGCCCGGTCCTTAGCCATTCGTCTCCATCTGTGTTCACCCCTGGCGTGATCTTGTCCACCCTCAGGGCCTTATGTCACCTCTAGGCTAACGACTCCCCAGCTGGCTTCAAATCCGGGTCTGTGCCCTGAACTATAGACTTATCGTCAACATTTCCACGTGCTGCACATCTAGGCATCTCCCAACCCCAGCCTGGCACACTTGGGCTCTCCCCTCAAACCAGTTCCGGTGAAAATCTAGGTGCCATCGTTGCGTGTCTCCTCCCACCCTGCATCTGGTGCGCCCGCAAATCTTGTCGGCTCCACCTTTGAGACACGTTCCGCAGTCCAACCACTGCCCTCCACCGGGGGCCCGGCCCCACCATCCCACACTTGGGCCACGGCACTCACCACCTCCCTGGCCTCCTGGCACCTGCCCTTGGGGG